CCGCCAGATCAGGCGCATCTTTCAGTGTATAACTTCTGGGGAGGTCCGTATTCCAGATTTGAAGAGTCCGTTTAGAGGATGAGAAGGTTCGACACGTTAAAGCGGGAACGATAAGAGTGGTACAAGACTTCTTTATAACTTATGTAAATAATTTTTTTAAATTCTGATATTTTTAAACCGCGTAGTGTCTATGCAAAAAGTATTATTTGTTACCTGAGCAGCGCATAGGAGTATATTACTGTGTTTAAGTAGAAAGCCTACAAGTTTGAAAACCCAAAAGCGCAAGTGAAATAGCAAATCTTACTTGAAATTATTTAGGATTCGATAAACCTTAAAAGTAAAAAAAGCCTTTTATGTCGTTAGAGACTTAAAAAGACAGTGTAATTTACCAAAAGAATAAAGCGAGTGCATGAAAAATAGTTCGTTTATGGTTATACTATACATGCTTATATTTTAAGGATACTGAACGTCAGTTATGGTGGCATTCTACTTAAGTAGTTGTTTTTCAGCCTCTGGAAGCAACGCGCATTCGAAAACTGTAATCCTGGCGTTACTGAATGGTGGTAGAAATATGCAGCATCATAATCAGTATTCGAGTTTCTCTTTTGTAAGTGAAATCGCATTTAGGACTTTCGATGAATTTTCCATGACCTACGCCACCTGTCGAGATGTTATTTAAGTCACTTCATTAAGGGAGGAAGGCTTACGCCCCTGAGCTCCCTATTCCTATCCAAAAATCGCAAAAGAGTTCAACTGTAGCAATAGTACAGAAGACAAATGTAGAGTTAACATTAGCGGGATGTGTGAGCCAGTTGCAAACCACCGCTACTGACACAGTGCTCGTCATATGTATCGCAGTTTCTCAGCAAATAAGAATCCACTTTGCGTTTAAATGTCTCAACAGTATCTGAAAAGATCACCTCGTCAGGGAGTCCTTTCCACGCTATAATGACCCTCTGCAGGAAGGCGTTCTGTCGAACGTCCATATAGACCGGTTTAAAGGGATGACCTCGCAGATGATCCGTCCGAACCATTTCGAAGATTTCATCAAATTCTAGGGCGCGTAGTTGCCTGTAATTGAGAAGAAATAAGTCAGGTTCAGTCAATCTGTCTTCGTAAGGCAGCTGACCAAGATTCTTCATCATCTTCGTAACCCTCGCCTGCAGATACCTCTTCTGTAGACGTTCTGGGTCCTTACCTTGGTCTCCGCTTTTGAATCGTACATGTTCGTACGTTGAATTCACAATGCTTTTGTACTC